GTGTTGAGTACTACTGTAAAGTTAACCCTGCCTGGTTTAAATGTTTAAAAATGCTTAACAGTTGAAAACATTCATTAGAAATTTAGAAAAGTAATCAAATGTAATCAGTTACATTAATAAAGTAATTGAAATAATTACACTACTTATTACATTTTAAATAGGGTAACTTGTAATCTGTAAACTATTAAATTTCCAAAGTAACTTTCCCAACACTGGAGCTATGTTTTATTCATAATTCATGCACTCTTGTTAGGTGGTTGAGTATCTGGCATATGTCTGGCACTGTACAGTTTTAAATGCGACTTAGTTGTCCAAGTACTTTTTGGTGGCCTCTGTGTGTGACTTTTATGATCAAATATGTGTTTTTGTGTATTCATTGTTTTGTTGTAGCAGATGCAGAGGGCATTTCAGCAACTGGCGTATGGGACAGCATGAGTGTTCGACATGCCTTCATTAGAAAGGTATTGAGACTATTTATTTTGTAATAAAACTAGTACTACAGACTTATAAACATAAAAATGTAGCAATAAAATGGGCAACAGCTTCATGTAAAGAAATTGGCTTGTGGTTGTTTTTGTTCCAGGTTTACCTTATTTTAGCCGTCCAGCTGTTAATCACTACTTCAATCATTGCGGTGTTCACGTTTGTGTGAGTACAACAAATCCACAAAACAACTGAACTTTTATGAACTGAATGTAATACACTATACATACTAATGTAATGAAATGGGTGTTTACATAAATCCCTCATCTTACAGTGAGCCTGTGCGTCTTTTTGTGGTCCAAAATCCTGCCATTTATTGGGCATCATTGTGAGTTTTATTTTACTGTCATGTCTGACAAGTCTAAATGAATGACAAAAACAAATATCATTTATGCTACACTACTGTTCAAAAGTTTGGGGCTGGTAAGATTTTTTTAAATGTTTTTTATGATTCCCAAGATTATATTCAGAAATCAATATTCATTGATGAACAGAAAGTTCAAAAGAACAGCATTTATTTGAAATAGAAATCTTTTGTAACATTTTAAATGTATTTACCGTCACTTTTGATCAATTTAATGGTTCCCTGCTGAATAAAAGCATTTCTTTAAAAAAAAAAACAACAACTTACTGACCCCAAACTTTTGAATATGTATATTATATTGAAGTAACGGTGACTTTTTTTTATTTTCCCCCACAGCCCGGTGTATCTTGTTACTTACCTTATGCTGGTTTGCTGTGAGGGGCCGAGGTGAGTTTAGTCCGTTTTTCACTCTTTACATTATAAGCACCAGAATATCTATTTAATAATGGAAATCCTGACTTGGTTTTTAGGAGACGTCATCCATGGAATTTAATACTCCTGTTCATTTTTGTAAGTGATGATTGCATTTTACTATGCTTTCATAGGCATTCACGTTGAATTATTCATTATAACTGACCAAACATGTTTTTTGTCCTCCATAGACCCTTACGTTATCTTACATGACAGGAACAATATCAAGGTAAGACTAGAGTTTCCTCAGTTTCACACACTGCATGTGGTTGGTTTTAAACATCAGATAAGCTCTTGGTTTTTTTGGCATTATTTACAGTTATTTTGACACCAAAGCAGTGTTCCTAGCCCTGGGGATCACAGCAATAGTGTGTATAATCGTCACAATCTTCTGTTTTCAAACCAAGGTAAGACCTGCTGTGGCAGAACCCAAGCTCTGATCGACTGGTCGGTGGTGAATGCCACTTTGTTCCCCGTGTAAAATAACCCCATTGTATTTGATTACAATGATCGTCTGTCTCTTTTTAAACATTCATGGCTTACTGATATGTCTCATGCTTAGTTGAGACAAAACTGTTTTTTGTGAGCTCTGCTTTTTACTGGATCAATTTTTGCTTTTGTGTAATATTTTCTCCCCATTTTACTTGTGAAATCTACTTTTTTACATTCATTACATTCTACAGTTTGCGACTACTGAGTTTTTTTTGCTTTGTTTTGTGCATTTGAACAGGTTGACTTCACCTCCTGTACAGGTCTGCTCTGTGCTCTTTGTGTGGTTCTTCTGGTGATTGGCATTATCACATCCATTGTACTCTCATTTCAATATGTAAGTGAGGCCATTATGTCATTATTTCAGTCATTGCAGATTATTTGAAAGTTTAGAGCAGTGGTTCTCAAGGGGCCTTTGCAAACTTATAAAGGATATTCTTATATTAACCCTTTCATGCATGGTGTCCACATTTGTGGACAGTTAATTTAACTCCATTTAGGGTTCATTTATCATGGTAATTTTCTCCAAACCACTTGAGGGCAGTGTCAGTAGATTGACAGCAATTTTGTAACAGTGGCTACTATCTTGCATTCCAAATATTCATTGCTTGATGACATCATTAATCCAAGATGGCTGACAGCGATAGCCATGTGCTAAATGCCCCAGGCATATCTGTGAAAAACTTTTATACAAGGAGGTCAATTGAGGTAAAAAAATGAAATATATATTAGTATGTACAGTAAAGTATGATGAATATGTTAGTATTTTATAAACTAAAATTTAGAGTAAAATGTAGTTTTTATTCACCAAAAACCAACTGTCCACGTATGTGGACATCATGCAACAGTGGAGTCAGATTGCATAAAGTCTGATTTCTGTAACCTGCTAGTATATCTATTCTATTTTTTCAAAGATGTTATGAATTGTCTTATATTGTAATAAAACAGGCATTTAACAAATATATCAACATAAATAACCATTTAAAATTACATATTACAGCATTAAATGGCAACTTTACACATACATATGGAGACAAATTTGCATTTTGCCTTCCAAACAGGGACAGCATAGGTCATAGCATAGGAGTCAGTACAGAATAATAGAGAATATCAGAGGACAGTGGAAGTGACAGTGACGGACGGCATACGTTGTTACAATCAGCAGTGAATGTTTTCCATGATTTGACCATATTGCTAATAGGTTTCCGCATATATGTAACTACTGTTATTGTTCCTACAATATGTGTTTTATTGTTATTATATTGTAATATTATTGTTTTTAATAACTGAGCTGATATAAATAGCATAACATGCCATTAAAAAAACACAATATTCCATATTGTCAGCTGTGGCTTTATGTCCCATTTTACGCCTTTGTTGCATGG